TTTTTTGAGTGAGATGTTTATAGTTAACCGCGACAGAGTTTAGGAGTTCAAAATAAACGAAGTTATAATGTTTCATGTAGATAGGAATTGAGAAATACTTTCTTGAGAGCTCACTTTGACACTACAAAAACTTGATAGTTTTTAGAAAAATCGAAAGAAAACAGAGACTAGATTTACAAAAAATTCATAGTACGACCTCCCTCAAGATACCACACAAGTCCTTTCTCTATCTCCTCACCCCTTTACCTTTAACCACCAAAATTTCATAGTATCAATGCCCATAATACCCAAACCTCCCTGCAAAATTTCAGAAAGTTTTGACAAAAGGCACGGGAGTTATTAAGCTTTAAAATGGGTGAACAAAATCGTTTCTATCCATACACATCCATACGCAAACATCCATGCATACAGGAAAAAGACCCAAATTGTTTTACATTTCTCGATGTTTGAAGGTTCCCTGAGTCGAAAAGCGTAAAAAATCTTACCACGGTTATAATCAAACTTCTATTCAGTTGGCCACATCTTCACGCTTTGCAACACCAAAACAACGTCTTTACTCTAATTCCAATCTGCTCTGCTCTTTACTTAAATCTAAGCATAAATATAAAGAAAAATTTGACTTTCTCGTTAATGAAAATTCACTTTGTTTGTTTAACTTTCGCTCCTCTCTGCGTAAATTTTGATTCGATTTGCAGAAAATCCAATCTCTTGAATGGAGTTGACTTCCCAATTTCTTGAGGAACTTCTACGTGGTTTTTTTAAAAATTTTACAAAGAAACTTCATGAATTGCCAAAATACTGAAGATTTCACAATTTAATTTAATTCTAAATCAATTCCTGTCAATAATTTCGGCGAAAATTTCTCGTATTCTGAAGTTCAATTGCTCGAGTTCTTCGTTGCAAATTCTTACTTTGAGATTAATTAAAGTTTTTCTGAATGAAATTACTAAATTTGATCATCTTCGACATTCGAATCCATAAATTACCACAAATGAACGAATGGTTCCTTATATTTTTGACTGATATCGGAGTTTTAACACGCGCCGTTCCGTTTCTCCAAGTAAGCTACCCGCTTATTGCATTTATATGTAAAAGCCAAACGAGGAAGGATGAGAGGAAAATCTTACATTTTAAAATGTTATCTTGGGTTTGCTGGTGTGTAATAATAATGTAAAATCGATACAACGTGCCACGTGATACCAGTTAAGGTAGATTGAGTCGTGGTTTTCTTCAGCTGTGTTTCCGTTGTAGGCGATTGTACCGTTATTAATATTGTTAGAGAAGAGAAAACAGAAAAGATTAGTGATAATTCGTGTGACGTTAGGTGGTGGCAAAAGCGAAAATCGAAAAACTAAAAGAGGTCGAAGCTACTGCATAAAGAAGAAAATTACGCAAACGAGAAATAACGAGGAGATTCCAAGATATAAAAAAAAAAGGAAGCGATTAGCATATAGGTAATTCAGAAATTATGATAACGGGAATATCATTTGTAAATTAGAATTTACAATTACCGTAATAGCTTTGTTTTATCTTTCTGTCATGATTCGTTCTTTTAAAATTTCGTTTTTCTTTTTACTAGATTTTTTTTTTGTTTTTCGCAATTTTTTTCTGCAGATTTATCTTTCCTTTTCCCACAGATTTTTATGCGTTTCGCTCCCGTTTCTACAGATTTTATGGGTTCGCTCCCCTTTTCTACGGAGTTTTCTGATTTTGCTCCTCTTGTACAGATTTTTCTGATTTTTTGTATTGCTTCTATAGATTTCCCCTGGTTTCTCCACCTTTCATGATTTTAGCCCACCCCTTTCTACGGATTTTTCTGGGCTTCGCTCCTCTTTTCTACGAATTTTTTCGCCCCTCTTCTACAGATTTTTCTGATTTTTTGTCTCATTTACAGATTTCTCGGGGTTTCTCCCCTTTTCTACAGATTTATCCAGAGTCTATAGAAAAGGGTATCTTACCCTTTTCTATAGATTTATCCAGGTATCTCCCCCTTTTCTATAGATTTATCCATGTATCTCTCCCTTTTCTATAGATTTATCCAGGTATCTCTCCCTTTTCTATAGATTTATCCAGGTATCTCTCCCTTTTCTATAGATTTATCCAGGTATCTCTCCCTTTTCTATAGATTTATCCAGGTATCTCTCCCTTTTCTATAGATTTATCCAGGTATCTTTCTCTTTTCTACAGATTTTCATGGTTTTTCGTTCTTTTTTCTAAACGATTCGAAAATTAGTTTGTTTTTTTTTATTTTATTTTTCTTTAAGTATAAGAACTAAGTAATTCAAGGATTCGAATAAATTTTTCTCTTAAAAAGCAAAGTAGGAGCGTAACAAAAGCCTTTCTTTAGAATACGGAATATTAGAATGAATTGATAATCTAATATTATTGTTAATTATCTACTTGGACATTATTTATTAATAGGACTTAATACTGGTGTTTAAAGATTGACACAGCAATGAGAGTTAGTTGAGGAAAGAGCAAAATTTCTTTATTATATCACCTGTAGTAATAGTTTCTGAATTGATAATCTTCTTAATGAATTATTTAAAATTAAACAGGACTTCAGAATTTTAATGTTGTTTTGTATACTTAGTCAGACTGTTGGTTCTTATCTGGGACGGTGGTTAGCTTCTAAATGGGTGACCTACTGTACAGGGAGACTTCTTCAATCTATTCAATTAAAATTAGAAACATGGTGTACCTTTTAAATATTTGCTAATGAAAGACAATTAATGTATAGTTATTAACTATGGAAGATGACAGATTACACATCTATCTATACATTTATCTATGTTAATTCTGTAAAATTCCAGAATAAATATTAATTGATTGATTAATGATAGAAAAATAAGAAAAAGTTCATTAAATAAACTTTAAAACTGTTTCAAGCTGAACAAAATTAAGGTTGATGCGAACTTCTAAAGATGTGGATGATGACGACTTCCAAAGATGCGGAGGATGAGGAGTTTCAAGTATATGGATGATGCTGATTTCCGAGGATACGGATGACGCGGACTTTCAAAGATGCGGATGATGCGAATTTAAATAATATTCGCGAGATTATATTGGCTTTAATGCTGGAGAAGACGTGTAAAATATGAATTTTTGTTTCTAAATTGAGAAAAATAGATACCTCATTTATTTAATTAATTCATTTGACGTGCTAATATCACTAAAGGAGTGAGAATCATTGGTATGCATTCGTTCAAGTACTATAATTAATTCTGTCTGCCAATATAATCAAATTAATTCAAACTAATGTAAAAGTTTTCTTTGATTTAAAGCGACTTCGTGAAAGAAATAAAACCGGGAATGAAGACATAAATTATCATTTATTTCTAATTTATTATAAACATTGTTAATTTACATCCTTTTCTTTATTATTGAAACTTTAAACAGCAATCCACTGTCTGTCTGCTTACGAGATATACAGTCTAAGTTCTGTAAAATTCTAGAAAACTTTCTACAGAATATGAAAATTGTACTTTAACTATGCCTAAAGTAAGGTGTAAGCCGATTCAAAAATTGCCGAATTATTTGCTTTGGACTTAATTCCTTGAGAATCTACATACGAAAATGCCTTAACGCAATCTTCGTACCCCTCTCAATCGTTTAAGATCGACTTTTTATCCCTTCTTATTTTCAAATTTTCTTCGCTCCTCAATGTACTTTTACTATTCACGAAAACCTAAAAAAAACTTGTTGTAACGAAATAAACTAGAATTTCAAACACGATAACTGATTCAACAGAAATGTACACTTCAAGTGATTAACTAACGGATTAAACTTGACGAAAATGTTCAGTGAAAAGAATCTGATACATGCCAAATAATTGTTTTTTTTTCGTCACTATTAACGAAGCCAACAGCAATATTCATTCGGCTTTCCACTTGACAGATTTCATAAAAACAAAGTAAATTATCGCGTGAATTATTAAAAAAAGAAAAAATCAAATATAAAAATATAACTCTTAACATTCTAAATGTTTCTTATAGATATAAACAACGAAGTACCGTCTACGAAATATGAATCATAACTTGTAACACTGTGTAAAATTAACACGTAAAAATTTTAAAACCGATCGATAATCAAACGGTTTACAATTAACTATATAAAAAATTTAAATATGAAACGAAATTTAACAAATGAGAATACAAAAAAAAAACTTAAACTGTTACGTTAAATATGATTCTAAATGTATATTTATAGCTAACGAAATTTGGCTGACGAAAAAAAAAAAGTAAGTAAATTAAGCTTACAACGATTTTAAACTTATTTAAATTGTAATCCGTTTGATTGTCTGTCCGTATAGAAGCCTTTTCATAATATTATACTCATAGTTTTTAAGGTGATTTACCTAACCCAACCCAACCTAACCTAACCTAGCCCAACCTAACTCAACCCAACCTAACCTAACTTAACCCGACCTAACCTAACCTAACCTAACTTAACCCAACCCAACCCAAAACAACACAACGCAACCCAACCTAACCCAACCTAACTTAACCCAACCCAACCTAACCTAACCCAACCCAACCTAACCTAACCCAACCCAACCTAACCTAACCCAACCTAACCTAACCTAACCCAACCTAACCTAACCTAACCTAACTGATTACAGGTTTAGAAGATATCAAATTCGTGGACGGTACTTCTTCGTCCAATTTAACCAAAAGTAAGTTCAATCTGTATAATTTACTTTTTAAGCTATAAAATTAAGTTTTATTGCTGGCATTCGACTCCACTCGATAGCATTTAGTGGTTGGTGACGTTTTGCCACTCCGCACAAATTTGTATTACAGAAATTCACGTGGACCCGCGAAATTCGAGATGGGAAAGTTTGAACGGGAGAGAAAAAAATAATTCGGGTTCCTCTCGTGCCCGTCCTTTAGAGGGAGCCGAGGGCCCTCCCGGGATAGGAATTCGTGCGCGTTATTTAAAAGGTATTGGTATTTTTTGCAATTGCGACATGTAATTAATGTGGCAATCCTTTAATTCAGGGCTCGGATGGGTGCGACCCGATGACCTTCGACCTCTGAGCGACGGCCACGGGTGGAGGAAGAAAGAGGGGCGATCCCGTCTCTCAAAGACAATTGTCATGCTGCCTGTCCGAAATAAGACGGTCCGGGTCTTAGTCCGAGTTGCAAGTAAAGCTGTAAAGTAAATAATAATTATATTTACTATAATAATCATAATATATTAATAATAGACTAATAATAAAATTAAATTAAATAATAAAATACTATAAATACTAATACTAACGCTCTAATATATTATTATTATTAATNATTTTTATACTAAAATAAATAATTAAAACTAAATTAATTTAATAAACATTTTTTAAAAAGATAAATATATATTTAATTTTATTTTTTTAATAAAAAAACAAAAAAATCGGAGGTCGTATCCTCTCCCCTCTTCGGACCCGCCGTCTAAATCCTACCTAGTCGAAACCCTATCCCCTTTCCCCCTATGAGAAACCGTCTTTATCGCGCGTGCCACTTTAGAAACCTCCACAAACTCCTCCCCCGCTAGAAATAATACACCCGATCTTCCTCCCTCGATCAGAGAATCTTCAATGGATCCCATCAAATTCCCTTACTCTACGTATCATACGATACGTGTACTTTATTTTTGTGTGGAGTCATGGCAGAACAACACAGAAAGTAAGACATAGGGATGAAAATAAATATGTCAGGTGTATAAGTTACCCATATTTATTACATTTTATAGCATCCTTCTTCAGATATTTCCATTTTTCTAGGCAATGAGAAACACCCTTTTCGAATAACTCAACTTTGCATAAAAATGGGTACGTAGATAGAAACCTGGAGACTCACTTTAAATAAAAATATATCTATTCGATACGTAGAAAAATGGATTTTATATATATATATACTACGATTGTATAATGAATGGAATGTTTAATGACAAGAAAGGGGGGGACGAGATACAATCGATTGTTTCTCGATGAAGAATCATCTACGAGAAATAATACATCACGAGTATTTAATTTATACACCTATCAATTTATTGTAGAAAACGTAGAGACGTCAAAGAAGAGAAACTTAATATCCCTTTTAAATTTACAATTACCTCGAACGTAACGAATGTTTCCTGTTGTAACTTACAGGGGCATAATTAGTTACGATTTCGGGCAGTAACATATAATTGGAAGAGGAGAAACTCTCTTTTTATCTTCTCTCTAGCTGAAGGACTCTTGGGATGGTGAGATTAGAAGAGGAAATTTTCTTAACTTACAAAAGAAAATTATGGTAGAATTTTTTTTATTTTGCAACTTTCCACTCGATAAACTAAATTTCCACATTTTAAACGAGTATAACATTTTTTTATTTGTTTGTTTCTCATGAAATGTGAATTTTCCATTAATCCCTTCAATAAATTTCTTTATGCAAATGCTAATTCCTTCTTAAATGGGTGATAATTGGATAAATTCTTTCTTTAGAATTTAATTAAAATTATCTTCCTGTTAATGAATTAAGTCGGATTTATCTTCCATTACTCGAAGGATGAGTGATAAGTAAGAACTGAAAAGAAAATCTTGAAAATAAGTCGATTTTTAAAATGGTTTCTTCTTTGAAAATCAGCTAAAAGGGTATTCTTTTGATGAAAATTTGTGATCAAACGTCTTATATATTTACTAAGAAAATTCTCTCTGAAATGAAGACAAAATGGAAGACGGATTTCGTTGAAATTCACTTGAAATCTTAACAAAGAAGAAAGAATCAAAGCTCTTTAAAATTCACTGGCATCCTTCAACTAGGATACAAGAAATTTAAATACATTCATTCTGCCTCAATTTCTAAACTTTACGTTTCGAATACGTAAAGTCAGTGTATAGAAACACTAGTTTGGCATATAATAAATGCTGCTACAATCGAGATAACTTATTAATTAAATTGTCAATTGTAATTTTCTTATTCTAATGTGGGACGTCTTACAATAACGATGATTGTTACTCGTACATACTTTGAATTCATTCGAAATTTCCCCATTTTTTTCAAGCGCTTGTTAATTACATTTATGGTTCGCTAATGTTTTGATGTTAACCTTTGACTCTCGATAAGTTTATTGACAGATTTCAATAAGGTTAGCAATAAAAATTTAATTGTCGTTTGAAGAATTTTCAGAAAGTTTTAATGTTCGAGAGAGACTTTTTGTCGATCGATGCTGAGCGATAACTAGACATAAAGGAGCTCGTTTTAATTATTCAGCCACGCTATAAAGCCAGGTAATTAATTTAAACTTTCATCTTATATCTAGTTCCTAGTAGAGGTAGTCCTACGGATATGTTTATACTTGACACGTCTTTATTAACATGTATTATTTATAACGATGCCCTTCAAATTCGAAAAACTCGAGTGCTGTTACTACGACATTACTCTTTATATTCCTATATATTGACGTGCTGTTGAAGGATGTTTGAAGGGTCTTTCCAATTTTTTAGGTACTCTACACTTCAATAAAATGATAGCTCTAGAGATAAGAGATATATTTATCTGTAGATGTTACTCATTCAAAAATATTTATTCGTAAAAAAAATCTGAATCCAACGATGTTTGAAGAACGAGTAGAACATCTTTGGAACGATAGAATCTTCTGTGTTGTTAGAATTGACGCTTTTTGTAAGTTTTTATGCATTAAAATTGTTAAAAACTACGAAAATTTAAGCGAATGATTCCTTCTTATGGTTAAAAATGAATAGGCAAAGAAATATCAAAATTTATTGCTATGTTAGCATACAAGCTTTATTTTTAAACATTGTCCAAATCCCAATCTTTCGAACCCTCAAAACTGAATCCTCGAAGCCTTCAAATCACAATCCTTCAAACCTTCAAATCACAATCCTCCAAACCTCCAAATTTCAATCCTCCAAACCTTCAAAACTCAATCTTCCAAACCTTCAAATCACAATCCTCCAAACCTCCAAATTTCAATCCTGCAAACCTTCAAAACTCAATCTTCCAAACCTTTAAATCCCAATCCTCAAAACCTCCGAATCCCAATCCTCAAAATCTCCAAATCCCGATCGTTCAAACCTTCAAAAGTCAATCCTCGAAGTCTTCAAATCACAATCCTCCAAACCTCCAAATCCCAATCCTCCAAACCTTCAAAACTCGATTCTCGAAGCCTCCAAATCTCGATCTTTCAAACCGCCAAAACTCGATCCTCCAAACCCCAACAAAACCTATAATTAGAATTAATAATCGCTTCCACTAATTAAGCCGAAGAAGATTTTAGGAACAACCCAATTTTAATATCGTTCCTCTTAATTTAGGATCCAAACTATTCATAAAATTTGATCCAAGTCGAAAATATTTCGAATACTTTCTAGTTAATTATGAAAATGATCGCCGGAGCTTGACGGACTTTCATCCATTAAATCAATTGTTCAAATCGTACTTGGAAATTTACTGCATTTTTAGATCATTAATTAATTATCTTTAATTCATTTAAATCCGGAAAATGTCAAGATCACGTTTGACCCTAAAGTGACCTTTAAACTTCTTCACAAGTACAGTACAATACAATGGAAAAATAATAAAAATAAAAAGGTTATGGAATGGTACATGTACATTTGTATTTTATTAATATTTTATTATGTCGATGGCAAATAAATTGAATTATTTATAAACATTTTATAGTAGAATTTTCGAATTAAAGTATTTTTAGTTTGTTACAGACAAGCCATCATTTTTTACTGTGAACTTTACGTCGAATCTGGTTGTGACGTTTGGGTAATTCATCACAGTTTTACGGTGTATTTCGAGATAGTTCGCGGTAGAAAATTGCAAACTTTACTATAATTAACTATAGTAAATCTCAAAGTCATTTTATACCGTCCTGTCGATCTGTCGGTCAAATTCTTACCAAAAATCTATACTTTGTTCACGTTCTATTCAGTAATTTCACCTGTTCATTAACACTATCCTTTAGCATGTCCTTCATTAAGACTTAAGTAATGAGTAAAGCAGTGAGAAGGAGAGAGAGGGAGAGGGAGAGAGAGAGAGGGGGAGAGGGAGAGAGAGGGAGAGGGAGAGAGAGGGAGAGGGAGAGGGAGAGGGAGAGAGAGGAAGAGAGAGAGGAAGAGAGAGGAAGAGAGAGGGAGGGAGGGAGAGGAAGAGAGAGAGAGGGAGGGAGAGAGAGAGAGGAGAGGGAGAGGGAGAGGGAGAGAGGGGAGAGAGAGACTGATAGACAGAGGAAGAGAGAGACAGAGGGAGAGACAGAGGGAGAGACAGACAGACAGAGACAGAGAGAGAGACAAAGACAGAGAGAGAGAGAGACAGAGACAGAGAGCCCCCTTCCTAACGTCACTTCCGCTTACATATGTAAGCGGAAGTGACGTCGTAAGCTATTCTCATTCCCATGTCAGTATAAGGGAGAATCCCCTTTACTATACAGTCAATTGTTAGCTAATTTCAATATTATTACTTTGTAAATTAGAATTAATTTCAATTTTACGATATTACGAGAAATCTGACGTATAATATATTAATTTTATGCTTTAAATATTATGTAATAATGTTGTTAAGTAATATTAAAATTCGGTTTTCGATTATTTAACGTTTATTAAAATAATAAAATAGAAAATGAAGAGTCGTGTCAATTCTCAAGAACAATTTTTAAATCCTAAATTTATTGTAAACGTGAAATATAGGGTCTGTGAATGGAGTAAAAAGTTCTTTTTTTCAAGAATTAATGTGTTTAATTCGTTAAATATTCCCTTTTTGTAGTAAAGTAGAACAAGGTAAGGGCGTGAAGGGGATAATTAACATCATAATACCTCGTAAAATAGTTTAAAAATAGCAGAAAAGTGAGTTTCCTAATGACTTACCTAACTTATTTTAAAAATGAGAAAGTTATAAAGAGTATTATCCAACAAAATTTCCTTTAAAGTTGAAATTATTAAGTGTTTCCGTCTTCTCAGACTTACGAACAAAGGAACATTTCAAAGAGGATTCTCCAATTGTGCTTTGTTCCTATTGAACATGATTAAATTTAAATCCTAAACTGAACATTTCGATTAAAAAAAAAAAAAGTAAAAGATACTCTTCCCCTATTTATTAATGTATACATATACGTAATACTCATAGTTTAACCACATACCTTCTTAGTTTATGATCTCCATAAACAGTAAG